TCTGGGCTTGTCCTAGAGGGACATGCCTTTCTTCTGAGACCAGAGGAACATGAATACAAACAAATATGCATACAGACGGTAGAGAGCCGAGGAAGGCCATGAGTGATAGCTCCCATTTAATGAATAAAGGAGGAAATAGAGTTCTCTAATGTGGGGTAAAGTTTGACAGAATTACCTAAACCTATAGCATATGGAATTGAAAATAAGAGGTTCCAAACAGGGCTCAGGACTTCAGATGCATCTGTTTACTTAAGTCTGCACACAGAGCAGAAGTGGCACAAGGGTTAAACACTCAGCTTCTCATTGAAAGGTCAGTAGTTTGAACCCACCAGCTGCTATGAGGGAGAAAATGTGTATGACAGTCTGCTTTTGTAAACAACTATGAGATATCATGTTATCCAAGCAAAAATAGCAAAGTTCAATAGGTCAACAAAAAACAAATGCTGGTAAGGTTGTAAAGAGATTGAAACCATTACTCACTGCTAGTGGCAATGTAAAATGGTACAACCATTATGGAAATTGGTCTGGCACTCTCTCAAAAAGTTGAAAATAGAAATACCATTTGACCCAACAATTCCACTACTGAAACTATATCCTAAAGAAACCAGAGCCACAAGTCAAACAGATGTATGTATACCTGTATTTATTGCTGAGTTATTTACAATAGCAAAGAGATGGAAGCAACCCAAGGGCCCAAGAACAAATGAATGGATAAAAAAAACATGGTACATTCACACAATGAAATATTTTGCAGCATTGGAAAACAATCAACTCATAAAACATTATACAACATGGGAGACATTGGAGGATATTATCCTGAGTAAAATATCTCAGTCACAAAAGGACAAATATTACAGAACACCACTGTTCTCAAATAGGACAGATTGGGGAAGCAGTGTTCGATAGAAAATGGGAAAAGAGTAGATAGATAACAAAAACCAATTCAAGGTGGACCATGGACCTAGGAATAAAACCAAGGACTATACGCTTCATTAAAGAAAAGCTTGGAAGAATGCTACAAGTCCTAATCCACAATATAAACAGTCTTCCAGGTACCCTGAAAAATCTACAACCAGGAGAAGATAAAATAACTGATTGGGATCTTCTAAAAATCAAATCCCTGAGCACATCAAAAACTTCTCCAACAGGGTAAAAAAGGAAGCCACAGACTGGGAAAACGTATTTGGTAATGACATATCAGGTAAGAGACTTCTATCCAGAATTTATAAAATACTTGTGCACCACAACAAGATAAAGGTAAATAATCCAATAGAAAAATGGGCACAGGATATGAGCAGACACTTTGCCAAAGAAGACATTCAGATGGCTAACAAGCACATAAATGTTCAAAATCCCTAGCTCTAAGAGAGATGCAAATTAAAACAACTATGAGATATCATCTCACCCCAGTCAGAATAGTAAAATTTATCAAAACAGCAAGCAACAAATGCTGGCGAGGTTGTGGAGAAACTGCAACTCTTATTCACTGTTGGTGAAAGTGTAAAATGGTACAACCACTGTGGAAGGCGGTATGGGGCTTTCTCAAAAAGTTGCAACTAGAGACACCATTGACCCAGCAATTCCACTACAGGGAATATACACTAAAGAGACCATAACTGACTTCCAACCAGATATATGCACACCCATGTTTATTGTGATTTTGTTCACAATAGCAAGGAGTTGGAAACAACCTAAGTGCCCATCAACAAACGAATGGATAGAAAAGCTGTGGTATATTCACACAATGGAATACTACACTGCACTGAAAAACAAGGAACTCATGCAATATTATTCAAAATGGGTGATCCTGGAGGACATGCTGAGTGAAGTATCTCAGTCACAAAATGACAAATACTGCATCGTGCCACTGTTGTAAAACAGGACTGACCTCAGGGTTGGGGGGAGACTGAGAAAGATGGGTTCAATAATGTATACTGCATTAAAACAGATGAAGGAGAAAACTGTTTAAAAGGGATATGTTATTGGGTCTTTTTGTCATGGCAGGAGTCCAGAGCGAAGGCTCCATAGTGGAGTGGACCTGGGGGAGGGGAACTGTAAAACAATGAAATAATTTTTCTTTTACTTTTCCAAGAGGGCAGTGTACTGGGGGGAGGGGAGGGTTGGGCGGCGGAGGATAGTGCAGCAATGAATGAATGGAAATCCAAATTCTCTGTAAATTTTCATTGAAATTAAGAATAAATTTAAAAAAAAGAGTGGATAGATAGTTAACATTGCAATTGAGCATATGAAGGGAAGGACTGACCAAAAGGAATATATGATTAGGCATTATATGTATGACAACAATCTGGAACAAAGGGTGCATTGTAATGGAGGGAAGTTGGAGGAGGGGTAGGAGAGCTTAAGAAAATGTGCAACAATAGATAAAAGAAGGAAAAAAAAAAGAGTACAGTCTTGGAATCCCTAGAGCGAAGTTCTGCTCTATTCTGCAGGGTTACTATGAGCTGGAAACAACTCGAAGGATCTTTTTTTTTTCTGTAGACCAGCTTCCTCCTGCAAATACACAGTTATTCAAAGTGGCTGTTTGCTCTTTAGGATATGATGCCCCACCTGCCTTCTCTTTCTGTTTTTAAAAAGTCTACTTTGGTTGTGGTATAAGTGTGCACTTTTCTGAGCGCAATCTTTCCAGGAGCCCTAAGCTTTTGGGGAAAGTATAACACTGACCCAGGTCTTAGTAGGTTCTTCAGAATTAATGAAGGAGGAGTTTGATCAAGGGATCAGAAGTAGGACTGCATTGGACATGGAAAGGGGTGTTAGACCAGGCGGAAGTGAAAGGATTGTGGATCGTGGGTCTCCGGGGATCATAGAGCGCTTTTAGTTTGAGAGAGAGACTGTTGCGATTAGGTACCGTCCAGTCAAGTATGATTCATAGTGACCATATGAGCAATAGACCTGAACCCTGTCCTGCCCTGTGTCATCCTCATCATTTCTGACACACTCGAGCCCATTGCTTAGTCACTGTGTCAGTCCATTTCACTGGGCATCTTCCTCTTTTTCACTAGCCACTGCGTCTTTCCAAGCATGATGTCCACCTCCAAAGTATTGACTTTCCTAGCAGCATGCCATAAGTATGTGAGACAAAGCTTTGCAATCTTTACTTTCCAGGTGTATTCTGAATGTTGTTTGTTCTTTTGGTAAGTCCAGGGGTTAGGGTTAGGGTTACTCTTCTTCTTACTACTCTTCTCCAACACCACATCTCAGAAAAGTGAAAGAGATGGGAAATCCTAAAATCAGGAGATGGTGATTAGACATAAAAAAAGAGATTGTGCAGTGATGATGCACTGAAAGCTAAGGTCCTCGGTTATATACAGGGAGCTTGGTGGGCTAGTGGTAAAGAGTTGTGCTGCCAACTCAAAGGCACATGGTTCAAATCCACCAACAGCTCTGCAGGAGAAAGATGGGCGGTCTCCTCTCATGTAGTTAACTGCCTCTGAAAACCCGAACGTTTGAGTTGGTTCTGACTCCATAGCACAAAAAAACAGTTGAAGAAATAAATTTCCCAATATTAGGACTAGATTTAGATGGAGAGAAAGGTAAAAATCTCTCAAGAATGTGGAAGAGGAAACAGGAGTACTACAAAGGATAGTTGGAAGAGAGGTAGAGAGAAGAATATCAGAATTAGGCCTCATGTAGGAAAATTGGCTTTTAGGTTTTGAGTTTTTTATTGAGGGGGGTATACTTTTATTGTAGTAAAGAGTTTACCACTCACTCCATTGCTTCTGAGTCACTTCTAGCTAAGAGTACAGGGACCCCCTGCAATGGGTTACCAAAGCTATATGAATCTTAACATGAGGAGATTGTTCATCTTTTTTGTGAAGAACCTCTGTGGATTAGAGTCTTTGGATTAGCAATGAGACACAGAATAGGCTAACCCACCAGAGCTCCTTAAAGATAAAACTCAAACTCATGGTCATCAAGTCAGAACTGACCCATGGCTGACCCTCCAGTGCTTTTCTGAGGCTGGAAATCATACGGGAGAAAATTGCCCTTCGAGCCCCTCCTGCCCCGAGGAGGTGGTGGTGAATTCGAACCCACAGAGAGATTACCACTAATCTACTAGAGCTCCCTATTGTTGTTATTATTATGTGTCATCGAGTTGGAACTGATGACCATCCAACAGATTTTCAGAAGCGGCTAATCGCAGGGTAAGAGATTGCCCATCTTCCATGGAGCAACTGGTGGATCCAAAGTGCATGTTTTTGGGATGGCAGCACAACTCTTTACTACTAGGCCCCAGAGCTTCCGATAAACTATGTCATATGATAATTAAATGACACTTCTGGAATTACATTATTTAGCCATGGGAAACAGTTTGCCCTACATTCTAGACCAACTGAGTGGATATGGTAGAAAAATACCTGGAAGGAGTTGAGGTAAGTCATGGTCTTAGGGAAGAACCAGGATTTAATTAAAGCAGCATGTTAAGGAAATGATAATTGGAAAAACTAGGGTGACAGGGGACCTCTGTGCCTAGTGGAAAGAGTAAGAGGTAGAGGCATAGTAGGAGACCTGGTCAGCAAGGAAGTTGGGACTGTCTGGAGGTAAGGGTGTTGGAAAATTCAGCTAGCCAGAGCAGATGTACATTTTTAGGCTACTACAGAAGAGAGATTTGAATGATGTTTAAGTCAGAGTGAGTATATCAAGAATATTTTTAGAAAGTTGGTTCTTAGTACACATAGAAATGGAAGGCGAGCCTGGAGGCCTAGTGACGTTGACACGTAGTGATCACCTGCACATACCCTAAATCCAACAGGTCCTGTGGGGTTGTCCTCACTTCAGGGAGAGCTGAGCCTCAGTAAAACACAGTTCTTTCAGTGTGCTAACCTGAGAGAGGTTTTTCTAACTTAAGCTACAAGTCTGTGTGTATATTACAGAAGAAAGTTGTAACCAGCTGAAAGGAATTATTATCAGTAGTGTAGCAAATTTCATTCTGAACTAATTTATTTCCTTTATTTTTGTCTATATGGATATTATCTCTGCAGGACTTACTGGCCAGATTTGGATGGAAAAATAAGAGAAGCATTAGTTTTGCGAAGTGTGAAAGTTCGACTCCTCATAAGCTTCTGGAAAGAAACAGACCCCCTTACATTTAACTTTATTTCATCTCTTAAAGCTATTTGCACTGAAATAGCCAACTGCAGTTTGAAAGTTGTAAGTATTACATTTACTGTGCCATTGAAAAAGCAACAGATCCCCTTGCCACATCAGTGCATACACATGAACTCCTATTAACAGTTTTTGTAGTGAAAAATACACTTTTATATTTATGAATGTTTCCTTATTTTAAACTACGCAGTGTGCCCTACTTCTGTTTGAAAGACTATACAACCTCCACATGACTAAAATCCCCATTCTTCTCAATGTTTCTATAATTTATTGTGACCCACATAGGCGAGTGCCCTACAGAGACAGTAAAACAAAAATCCTCACAAGTGGACCAATAGGCAGCATCTCAATAAATAGAGAACCCTGACCTGTGACAAGGTATTTTCAATTGTGTCCTCTGCATGTGAAACTTGAACAATGAATAAAAGTATCTGAGACGAATTGATATCTTTGTGTTGCGTTGTTGACAAAGAGTATTTAATATAACATAGATTGTAAAAAAAACAAACAAAAAAAAACACCCACAAAAACTAATCTGCCTTAGAGGAAGTGAAACCAAGGTACTCCTTGGATTCAAGGATGGTGAAATTTCATCTCACATATTTTGAGCATGTTAGGAAGAGCTTGTGTTTGGGAAAAGACATCATTACCAGAAAAGTGAGAGTTAGCAAAAAGAAGGAAGACCTTCAGTGAGAGGGATTGATGCATTGTCTGCAATGGTGGATGGAAATTATGAGAATAATGCAGAACAGGGCAAGATTTCAATCTATTATTCATAAGGTTGCTGTGAGTTTAAGTCAGTTTGATGGCACCTGACTGAAAACTATTGGCACCTATAACAAAAACAGGGAGTTCTAGTAGTCTGTGGTCTACTGCCAACCAGAAGGCACATGGTTTGAATCCACCAGTTGCTTCTCAGGAGAAAGATGGGCAGTCTCCTCTTGTGACTTACTGCTTCTGAAAGCTCACTGGAGGGTCAGCTAGGGGTCAGTTCCAACTCAATGGTACATAACAACAAGAGTCTAATATCATCACTTGATCTATTCATTTTCTCACATGTCCTTTTAATTGAATGGTGCTTGCTAAAATCCTCATTTAATTGTCAATGGACATTCCATGAATTTGGAGGTGAGGAGTAGTTGACAGAGAGCTCTGGTGGTGTGATATGTTCCATGTTGAACTACTAGCCAAGATATTGGTGGTTTAGATCCACCAACTGCTCTGAGGAGAGTGGGTAGGAAAGTACTAGATCTTCTCCTGAAAAGATGTACAGCCTCAGAAACTTAATGAAGGGTTTGAGATTATTTGGAATCAACTTGATGACAGCAATTATTTAACTTCAGATAAAAAGGACAATTTGCCAAAACCCATCAAGTCAATTCTGACTTAGGGAACCCCATCCAAATGTGTCAGAATAGAACCCTGTCCCATAGGGTTTTCAATGGCTGTGATCTTTCAGGAAAAGATTTCTTGAAGCACTACTGAATGGACTTGAACCATCAGTCATTCCATAGCATAACACTTAATAATTTCTGCCACTCAATGGATAACCTGAGTGCTTCCATTTTAGAAGTCAGGTCTCTCCTTATATGTCTTTGTAGTAATGTTGTTGTTAGGTACCATCGAGTTGCCTGAGACTCATAGTGACCCTATGTACTAAACCCTGCTCTATGCTGTGCCAATCTTACTGTCTCCAATACACCTATCCCCATTACCCCAGTGACTGAATCAATCCATCTCATTGAGGGTCTTCCCCTCCTGTGCTGTCCCTCCATCCTCTCAAGCATGACGTCCCTCTCCAAGGACTGATCCCGCCTTGCAACATGTCGAAAAAATGTCAGATGAAGCTTCAGAATCCTTGCCTCCGAGAGCAGGCTGGCTTCACCCTCTCCAGGATGAATTTGTTTGTTCTCCAAGCAGTCCATGGTATATTCAATACTCTTCTCCAGCACCACAACTCAAGGACATCAACTCTCCTTCTATCATCCCTAGTCTTACTGGCAAAACCATAAGCCACTAAGATTTGATGAAATACCAATTGAGGTTTGAGTCTAGAAATTCTCAGTTTTCTATGCCAAGAAATTTTGGAAGACAATTAGCTGGCCAGGAAAAAGATTCTTATTTGTCCCTTTCCTAAAAAGATGATCCAACAAAAGGTGGAAATCATTGAACTATCACATGCAAGTAAAATTTTACTGAAGATCATTGTAAAATGACTGGAGCAGTACATTGATAGAAATTCATGCTGGATTCAAAAGAGGGTGTAGATAAGGAATCCCTAAAGTTAGAAGAAGCTGTGCCAGAGACAGTGAGATTGGCTCAGGATAGGGCTGGGTTTGGAACTGTTGTTCATAAGGTTGCTGTGAGTCATATTTGAGTCAACTGCACACAACAACAAAATGAGGGAGCTTTGGTGGCCTAGTGGTAAGAAGCTACACAGTAATTACAAATACATGTGGCTTAAATCCACCAGCTGTTCCCAGGAGAAGTATGGGCTGTCTCCTCGTATGCAGTATACTGCCTCTGAAAACCTGCTAGAGGGTCAACTGTTAATCCATTCAGACTTAATGGCACACAACAAAACAAAGTCAGATAGACCTTGACCAAAAGCTGAGATTATCAGAAAGAGGCTTACTTGTGTTTCATTGACGATGCAAAGGCATTCAACTGTATGTATTATAATAAATTATGGATAATATTGACAAGAATGAGAGTCCTAGAAAACTAAATTGTGCTCTTGCAGAGCACCTGTATCAGAGCAGAAAAAAAAGGGATAGTTTAAAATCAGGAAGGGAAGGGTGTATGTCAGGGTTGTATCCTTTTATCGTATCTATTCAATCTGTAAGGAAATGCACAGTCTAGCAAGAGTTAACACTGTCAACCCAGAATATGAGCTTCTCTGGCAGTTCAAATCCACAAGCAATTCCACAAGAGAAAGAGAAGCAGGCTCCTCTCATGTGACTGACATTCTCAGAGACTGAATGGAGGGTAAGCTATAAATTGATTTCAAATCAAAGATGAGAGAGAAAGAGAACACTCTGACTTGAGAGAATGTGACTCTGAGATTTTTTTAAATCTGTATGTTGAGCAAATAATCCCAGAAACTGGACTGTATGAGTAATGTGACATTGGAGGGAGACTCATCAACAACATATCATATGCAAAGGACATAACATTGCTTGGAGAACAAGACTTGAAGTCCTGACTAATGAAGCTCAAAGACTCCAAGCCTCCAGGGCCTCGCTCCTGGGGGGAAGAGCAGTCCTGCATGTCAAACACAAGCCCAAAAAATCACTCAACCCAAAAAACTTGTGGTTACTTGTGCACAAGGACCACCATGCCGTGCTCGGGCATAAAGAAGTCACAGAGACTCTGAGTGGAGTCATCCAGGAATTGAAGTTGTCAATAATCTCATTTCACTTAAATCCACAATCAACACCCATGGGAACAGCAGTTAGGAAACCAAAGGTGTGTTTCACTGGGAAAATCTGCTGTCAAGGACCTCCCAAAGTACAAAAGAGCAAGGATATCAGTTTAAAGATTAAGGTGCACTTTTCCAAGCCATAGTAGTTTCATAGTTGCTTCCTTTGCATCTGAAAGTTGGACAGTAAGAAGTGATGCCTCGAATTGTAGTGTTGGAGAAGAATATGGTGTATCTCATGGACTTGCAAATGATCAAGCAAGTCTGTCTTGGAGGATTCAACCAGGGTGCTCCTTAGAGGCAAGGATGGTGGAACTTCGTCTCACATACTTCAGGCTTGTCAGAAGGGGCCAGTTCTTGGAAAAAGACATCATACTGACAAAGGTAGTTGATCAGATAAATAGATGAAGACTCTCAATGAGATGGATTAACACAGTGACTGTAATAATGGATGCAAGCACATTAGAGATCTTGAGGATAGCACAGGATAGGGCAGGGGTCAGATCTATTGTTCATAGGGTTGCTGTGAGTGGTAGTAGACTCGATGACACCTAACAACAGCAGTAGCAGACTCATCCTGCTATAAACACTTCACCATCATGACCCAAATTCTCTTTATTAAATAAACATTTTACTTTATCATTATTTATTAATATAATATATTATCTTCACAGCACATTGTGAGATAAACAAGATTAATATTTTACCCCCATACATCAAAAGGGGACATGAATGCTAAATCATTTTAGGGAGTAAATGATGATATGAAAACAGAAACTAATGCTCCAGTCTAATTCTCTTTCTAGCACACTTGCTGTGGCCTTCCTTCCTAAAGCATGCAGTTGCATGGTATCAGATGGGTGGGTTTTGGAATATGCACAAGCACAGACTCCTGCAGCCCTCCAGTCCTCCTAGCCTGGAACCCCACACTTGTCCCTGGCTCCATGCCACTGGGCTATGTGCTAATCTATAATTGGAGGGAGACTGGCTGGGAACTGGAAATAATTCTAAATATGGTAGCTTTCTGGCTTCACTCTTGACACTCCTGAGGTCTTCTTGCAAAGGTGGAGAGTCAATGTAAGAGAGGAAGACCTTCAATGAGATGGATTGACTTAACAATGGCTCAAGGATAATAGATGGTGAGGATGGCACAGGATAAGGCAAGGTTCATATCTCTTGTTTATAGTCACTATGACTTCTAGTTGACTCTACAGCACCTAATAACAGTATCCCCTTAAAGCCTTCATGCATGCCATTCCCTCTGCCTTCAACACTCTTCTTTATGGTTCATTTGTCCAGGACCCATTAGTCCTATAGGTCTCAGGTTTTCACAAAGTTTATTGACGCCCTACTCTTCTCTGTTACAACAAATTACAAGACAGACAAACCTCTCTCAGGGAGCTTCAGTAGACAGAAAGTAGAAAAAGATGGACAGTTTTCTGTTGTAATCACTCAGCATGTCCTTTAACTTCCCTTCACTGGACTTATATGAGTTTAAAGCCATGTTTTCATGTGGATATTACTTGACTGATATCCAGTTCATACAGTAGACTAGAGCTTCATCACAACAGAGACCAAAATCTGTTGTGCTCAATGCCACATCTTTTTCTCCTTTTTCTTTTTT